GTTAAATTAATTAATTTAAGTAATAATTAATAGTCTAACTGTTCTCCACTCTTGGGCAAAGGATATTCCTAGATAAGCTAATTCCTACCTTTGGGGACAGGAAGGCACAGCTAAAAACTAACTGGGTCATGACAGCTTTCGTATCTGAAATAGGAACATTGGTTTTAAAAAGCATTTCACAACTGTGAGTCACACCATTCTGAAGTTCTGTAAATCATACATTGTGGGTCCTGAGTCTGGAAGGGCTTTCTCACATAAGGTTTCAGATCCCAGCAGTGAATACTTTTATTAGCAGTACTATCAGGTGCCTCTTTATACATGGAAATTGTTCTAAGAATAGCTTTATATAGTGTATTTAAAGAGCCATAGGCAAAGAGCTTCTTTTGTATCTTATTCCTCTGATTTCTTAGTCAGAAAATAGGAGATCATGTTCATTTTTATCCTTCACAGATTCTCTAGCCATGTGATATCACACAGTCTTTGTGTTGCCATCTGGTCATGCCCTGAGAATTCTTCATCATGAAGCAAACCACAACCAGCCTGATTCTTCAGGGTTTTTTGGTTTGCGGTTTAGTTCGTGCCATCTCTCTCACTACTACTTCTCTCTTTGTCATCATAAAATATATTTTTCTTCCCACTGCTTCTTGATAGGTAATACAGTGGGGTCTTGACTTAAGAACGGCTCAAGTTAAGAACATTTTGACTTACGAACCGCTCTCATAGGAAAATATTGACTTGACTTAAGTACTTAGATTTGAGTTAAGAACTGGGAAAAAAACCACGTGGGAGGCAGGGAAAGTGCAAAATTTGAACTTTCAGTTAACTGTTGGCCGGTGAAAAGGGTGCCTGTCTGCTTCCTCACTCCTCCCAACGTTTAGAGAGTGGATTGGGAGACAATCAATGGAATATGAACTCATTAAATAATAGTACTTCATATGCCGAAACAGTGCTAGCTCTATTGGAACTAATCCTGTATTAGGCTGTGCTACAGCTCTCTTGTATAACCCTGAGAAATATGTACATGCATATTTTTCATTTTTACATTGGCAATATAGATAAGTGCTTCCTTGAATCATAGCACTTGGATCCCAACTGCCAACTGAGGAGAACAAGTGAAAAAGAGTAGACTGATTTTAATTAAGTTACATACTGCTTAAAATTAATGACCAAAATCCTGTTTTCATTTTATACCAGCATAACTTTGGGTAGTCAATTGCTGCAAATTGCATAGTAAGTGTAGACAATGGCCAAAATTCTGTTGTTTAGTGTAGTAAGTCACATTAGATTAGGCCTATTAAATCATTGGGGATGTAGTGAGTCATCTCTTCCGTAAGTCTGATTGATTCAAACAAACCTACTCTGTGAGTTAAGATGTTAAAATAAACTCCAATTAGAATAGAATTATTTGAATCAAGAATTTACAGAGGAATTGACTCACCAAATTCCCACTGATTCAATAGGCCTACTGTAGTGCAATTTACTACACAAAGCAACAGGATTTTAACCATTATTTCTTTCACATTGGTAAAAATCCTGCTGCTTTGTGTAGTAAATCACACTAGAATAGTCCCATTATTCAATGGGGAATTGGTGAGTCAATTCCTTCATAAATTCCATTGATTCAAATGGGCCTAATCTAACTGCAACTTGCATAAATCAGAATAGGCCTATTTGAATCAAAGGAAGTTACAGAAGAGTTGAATAACTACATTCCTATTGATTCATTAGACTTACTGTAGTGCAATGTACTATTCAGAACAAAGGATGTTTACCACTGAGAGCAGAGATGAAGCCAATAATCATTGGAACATCTCCTGGCAGTCTGTTGGACTTTGCTACAAGCAACTTGAAGAACCTGCAAGTTGTACTCACTAGGACAAGCTTTGTATGCTGCTAAAGCTCTCCTCTTTTCCTCAATGGCTGGCATCAACGCCTCTGAATGGGTTTCAAACCAGTCTGATGTCTTTTTGGTCTTCTTGCCAAATGTGGACAAGATGTAGTTATAAACAGCATTCTTGAATGCTCCCATCGTTCAGGTGAGTTTGCAACAGCTGGGCCTGGAAGAGTTCCCTCAAACGCTTGGGCAAATTCGTCCACTTTTCTCCGATCACGAATCTTGCTGATGTCAATACATGGTCTTCCTTCCGTTTTTGTGTGATACAATCTCTTTATTTGCAGTTTGACTTTCCTACACACCAGGGAGTTATCAGTATCACAATCAGCACTCTGGTAACTGCGTGTGATCGTAATGCTAGGAAGGCTAGAGTGTCTAGTGAGGATCAAATTGAGCTGATGCCAATGTTTGGATCTTGGATGTCTTCATATTAAAGAACGTGTTGCTGCACAAAAACCACATTAACAGCAAAACTCCAGGAAGAGTTGGCCAGTTTCGTTCATCTTCCTAATGCCAAAACAGCCTAGATAAGTGGGCCAAGAATTGTGATCAGCACAAACTCTAGCGTTAAAGTCTCCAAGAATGAACAAGCAGCTCTCTCTTTCAGGGACTTTTTTGATAGTAGCTGCCAGATTGTCACAGAATTTGTCTTTAACTTCTGTTGTAGATGACAGTGTTGGTGCATATGCACTAATGAGGGTGATCGGTCCTGCTGATGAGTGGAGCTGCAAAGACAGGATTTTTTTTTCCCTCCTCACAGTTGGTGGAACAATGGATCTCAGCAGAGTATTTCTAACCATAAAGCCAACACCATATTCCTGGTCTCATTCAATGGTTTTCTCTGCCAGAAGAATGAGAATTTTTTTTCTTTGACAGAGCCTAAGTCTGGCAATCTTGTCTCTTGCAGAGCAACAATGTCCATCTGCATCCTACTCAGTTCCATGTTGATGACAGCTGTCTTGCGTGCATTGCCTGTTTCTTGCAGGTCGCCAGAAAAGCCAGGGGTCATTGTCCGAACATTCCAGTGGCCTAACTTTAGAGCAGAAGTTTTCTTATGATTATTGCATGGTGCGTGGTTATCGATCTGCTTGTCGGCTTTCACCCTAAACCCCACGCACCCCGTGAGGTTAACATATTAATATAATATCTTAATGTTATCAACAATATCATTATGATATGTGTGACCATTTTTCCGATAGAATTGTAACTCCCTTCCCCCACCCACCATGTCTATCTGGCTTCTACATTGAGAAATTTGGTGGAATAGATCAATTTTCTTTAGCTAGGTTTCTGTCATTCATGCTAGGTCATCATACCTGTCTAGGGGCATGCATTGTGGAAATCTTCATTTCCACACACTCCTGGTACTTAGGCAGCAGCATTTTCAGATTTGGCACCAAGACAAGCAGAAAATTGTCTGTTGGAGGAACCAGAAAGGGGAACACCATTGTAATACCATATCTCTGTCATCTATCGTGGCCCATTCTACTTCTACTACGATTCTTCTACTAACACACAGTTAATACATGAATATATTTCTGCTTTTCTCACAAGTGTAGCCAGATATAAAGAACAATAAAAGCTGAGCTGAAATTCCCTTTCTTACATAAGTATCAAAGGTACAGGAAATCGGACTTCATTGTTTCTGGCAACTATCTCTGTAGTATAGCTGTAATTCAAAAAAGTAATGTTTCTATGCTCAGAATATACCTTATTTCTCAGTTCACATGTAAGGGTTAAGAACAGGTGTTGCATATCTAATTGGAATAAGAACAGTTCATTCAAAGCAAAAAGGACTACATCTGGGGCCTTGTATGTTTGGAGATAAATCATGGTCAGACAGGATATTTATTCTGGATAAGTTGCAAAAAAAAGCAAAAATTATGAAAAAACTTGAATAGTTATAAATAGAATGAAATAAGCTTTGCTTGGTTAAGAAGGGGAACATGAAAAGATATACAGTGCCATTTTTGTACCTTATGGAATAAATTAGTTATCCATTGCTCTCCGATTCAGATACCTTAAGGAGTCTGCAATTGATATAAAGGAACCAATCACTTTTTCAAACTGACCGATTCTCTGTCTGGAAAAGACATATATATAATTTCTTTATAATTTTTATTTTTTCCATTCATTGTGGTGTGATATCTTAAGATGGTTTGATGAAGCTCCGGGAGGCAGTGGAAGACAGGAGGGCCTGGCGTACAGTGGGGTCTCGACTTAAGAACTTAATCCGTATTGGAAGGTGGTTCTCAAGTCGAAAAGTTCTTAAGTCGAATCTGCATTTCCCATAGGAATGCATTGAAAACCATTTAATCCGTATCTGCTCTTTTCTGTCCATAGAAACTAATGGGAAGCTGCTATTCTGCCTTCTGCCACTAGAGGGGGATATTTTCTTTCTTTTTTCCCCTTAGGTTCAGGGAAGGCAGGGAACACTAAAGGCAGCACTTTAGAACTCTTTTTTTTTTAAACGAAGCCAATTTTAAATAATGTTTTGAAGCATGTTGTGCTGATTTTTTCAGCACAAAGGCACTCAGGCAGGCTTTTTAGGTGCTGAGCAAGCCTCCGGAAGCCTGCTCAGAGCCAGCCGATCAGCTGTTAGGCGGGGAGAGGAGCGGGGGAAACCACAAAATGGCTGCCAGGCTCTTTCTGGGTGTCGGCTTTTAGCTCTTTCCTGCTCTTTTTCCTGTGGTTTGAGGGCTACCAAGGCCTGGTAAGTGACTTTATTTAACAGTACAGTATTTATTTTTAAGTTTCTGACCCTTTTCCCCCCTCCAGAAGCCTCTAAGGGGAGGGAGGGAGGACTTTTTTCCCTGTTCGTAACTGGAGGGAAGTTCGCATGTAGAGTCCTTACTTTCCCTATAGGGCAGGTTCGTAACTCGAATTGTTCGCAAGTCGGGTCGTTCGTAAGTCGAGACCCCACTGTACTCTGGTCCATGGGGTCACGAAGAGTCAGACATGACTTAACAACTAAACAACAACATATTAAGATGGAAAAAAGATTTAAAAACTAAAAGAGAGTCAGTGATTAATGTTATGTTGATTGAATATTTAACTTAAATTGTCTTAATTTCATTTATTTTTTATTATTGTTGCTGTTTTTTAGTACTGTTCCATTGGGACCTGATCAAATTCTTCTGCGTGGAGCTCAATTAAGAAATACACAGTGGGTTCATGGTATAGTTGTCTATACAGGACATGATACAAAACTCATGCAGGTTTGTCTTATAATTTTACATAGCCTTTACCTTTTTTGTGTAAATTAGGAATACTCTAATTCATGGACGCTAGCTTCGTAGAAGGAAGTGGCGTTCATGACATACATCAGTAGAAACAGGAAGACCTACTGACCTGATTGCAAAATAGGGTCAAGCTTAACCACAGTCCTTTCCAGGGCTGTTGTCTGCTCAGTAGACTTAGAGGCAAAGCAATTACAGAGTGTTGTATGTGTACTGAAATGGAGCTACCTAACCTTGAACTTGATTTAGGGCAGACTTTCCAAAACTGAACGTCCCTGTTCAGTAGAGATATTTTCATAATGTGAATTATGTAAAGGGGTTCAGCTGTTGATAAACTCTTGTATATCTTAGCAAAGTAGGGGAAGGGTTTTTTGTGGTATACTTTCATTAGAATTTACTATACAGTGGTGCCTCGCTATACACTTATCCCGCATGACGTCAAAATCGCTTAACAATGACATTTTTTGTGATCGCTATTGCGATCGCAAAATGATGGTTCCTATGGGGGAAATCCGCATTACGTTGATTAGGAACCTGGTTCGCGAACCGTTTGTTTGCTATATGATAATTTTTCCAGTTCCGCAAAATGGCTTCCCTCCTCAAAATGGCTGCTTTCCAGAGGGAAGCTTCACATTACAGTGATTTTGAACAGCTGATCGGTGGTTCTCTATGGGCAATCTTCGCTGGACGATGAGGTATTTCCCCCATTGGAACACATTGACCGGTTTTCAATACATTCCAATGGGTTTTTTCTTTTCGCTTGACAACGATATTGCTTAACAACGATTTTCCTGGAACAGATTATCGTCATCAAGCGGGGCACCACTGTATGGGCAAATTCATGCTTTCCAATATTTTCAAACACTTATGGGATAGGCTATTTGTGTCTAAGACTATTGATATCGAAGACTATATAGAAAATAAGAATGTGCTTTTAGGAATAACACAATCAAATTACATATATATGTACTTCCATATTGCTGAATTATTTTTATTTCAACCATAGAACTCGACAAGTCCACCTCTTAAGCTGTCCAATGTGGAGAGAATTACAAATATCCAAATTCTGTTTTTGTTCTGCATTCTTATTGCTATATCCTTGATTTGTTCCATTGGGTCAGCTATATGGAATCAGAAACATGAGGAGAAGGACTGGTATATCAATCTAAAATGTAAGTATCAACCATAATTCTCAGTGATTAGGTATCTGACTGCAGAGGCAGAGGTTGGGAGTTCGATTATCCACTGTGCCTTCTTGCCAGGGGTTGGACTCAGGATCCTGATGATGATGAAGATCAGGATCCTGATGATAAAGATGATGATTTGTTGCACTCCTGTCTGGAGAAATGGATTTTGATACAAAAAACTTACGCTGAAGAAAAACTTAGTCTTTAAAGCTTTATAACATTTTTCCTTTTCTCCTCTTTTCTTTTGCCAATTTATTGCCACTGATCCTTATTTTAACTTAAAATAAATGTGTTGCATCTTTGCCTTAATGAGCCTTTAAACGTAGTATTTTTCTCCATACCAGTTGATGATTATATATAAAAATATTTTTATCATTTACAATAAAAGGATGTGTGTGTGTATGCACAAAACACACACATTCTGTAATGTAACAGATGTCCACTGAAAAATAGTTTAATCTAGGCTAAATTAGGTGGTATATCAAATACATAATTACATTTAATCTGTCTTGTGTTGTGTTGTATTTTATGGTAAAGGAGGTGATGCACTTGAGACCCATAGGAGGTCCATGGAAACTACAGGGACCTGTGGAATTGATAGTTTTCTGAAAACCACAATTTACAAAGCCTAATGAGCAGAGGACTAGCAATCTCACAAACCTTATAGCTGTTATGGAGCTTAGCATGTCCCCATCCGCTCTTTCCCTTTGCAGTGGCTTTAGAGAAGAACACAATGGGCCTCAGATGTATCTGATCAGAGTATCTGATATCTGTAGATCTCCCTTGGAGCCATACAGAACCTTATAGACCTCTGGGGCAGGGGGAAATCAGAAGCTTGTGTTCATAACACTTGGCATTTATTCCATTTAAGTTAATTCATGTGTACCCAGTGTGGTGTAGCAGATAGGACTTTGGAGAACAGGGTTCCCTGCTTGGCCACGGAAATTCACTGGGGGAGTAGAATGAATCATACCACTCTTTAAATACTGTACAAAAGCAAAAACAAAACATGCTACTTATATACCACGCCATAGTGCTTAAAGCACTCTCTGGGCACTTTACAAATTAATTATGCAGGCTATATATTGCCCCCCCCCCCCAGCGAGCTGGGTACTCATCTTACCAACCTCAGAAGGATGGAAGACTGAGCCAACCTTGGGCCAGCTATCTGGGATTGAACTCAGGGTCGTGAGCACAGTTTTGGCTGCAGTACAACAGTTTAACCACTGTGCCATAAGGCTCCTTTAAAGCCCTATCAGGGTCTTTATAAGTCAGTTTTGACTTGACAGCACATAACAAGAAGTGTTAATTCCAGAATGAAATCAGACAATCATTTCCAACCATATCAAAATTTATGTAGGTATCAAGATATAAGTCCTTTCATTGTTGCAAGACTTTAATTCCTTTAAGCATATTATAAATGACACAGAAAATTGTTCTAACTGCTCATCCAGCCAAACCAGCTTGAATCTATGGAGGAAAATCCATGCTCTCCTTGTCTGCTGTCGTTGTTGATGATGCTGTATGATCAGTGTTAGTATCCAGTGTTTTTGTGATGTGTTGTGTTGTCCTGTGTGTGTCTCCTGCCTCCTTATACTGTATTATTCCTTTCAGATGTAAACATTTTCATTCAAACTCAACATTCTCATTTTCAAAGCCTGTAAATAATAGGGGTCTGATGTATCAGCAGATGTTTTTATAATACCCTGTTTCCCTGAAAATATAACATATGAAAATAAGCCCTAGTATGATTTTTCAACAAGCTCGTAATATAAGCCCTACCCCCAAAATAAGCCCCAGTTAAGTGAAAATACACCCTCCACCATTGTGCAGCAACCAGAAAATGACATGACTGTAAAATAAAACATCTCCTGAAAATAAGTCTTAATATGTTTTTTGAAGCAAAAATTAATATAAGACCCTGTCTTATTTTCGGGGAAACACTACAAATTTCCAATGCTTTTATAATTCTTTAAAATGACTGCTGTAACTAAGAATCTGACATGCTGCCTCTATGATCACAAGCTTTATTGTTTTGTCTAAAAGAGTCAGAGTCCCGTGATTTGCACTGACTATGATAGTAATTTACAGAAAGAGCAAAGTGCTTGAATTAATACATCAGGGTATAGCAAATAACTAGGTTTGCTACTGCCATCTACAGATCTTCTTAACACATCACAACATTTTACCAATTATAGAACAATTATTTCAATATACTTTCAGTTATCTCCCACTGCTCAATTGTCAGCCTTGAAGAAAATTTCTTTGTAATGTTATTGCGCGGTGACCTTGCTCCCAGACTTGGCTGGAAAGTGGGATGATTATTTCACAGTATCTTTTAATTGTAAATTGCTCTTCAAATCTCATTTTTAAAATGCAGTGTGCATTTTCAGGGCTGCTTTTTCTACATCCCTCTTAATTAATGTAACACTGTTATAATATAACATTTTTCATCTTTACACACGTGTATGCTGATCTTCTTTGATGATATGAGTTTTTTGGCTACAGCTACCAGAATTCTGGCTTGAGTAATTTCTGGTGAATTGTTGTAGTGAAAAAATCTGAACATCCCATAGCTATTTACTGTTAAATGATCTTTTGTCACTGGTCTTGGTAGTTTCTGAAGACAGTAGTCTTACCTTACGTCTTCCTTTCTTTTCTTTTTCTTTTTTTTTACAGATGGTGGAGCTAACAATTTTGGGCTGAATTTTCTTACCTTTATAATCCTCTTCAACAATCTAATTCCAATCAGTTTGTTAGTTACCTTAGAAGTTGTTAAATTTATTCAAGCCTATTTTATAAATTGGGTAAATATGAACATTATTGTGCTATTTGCAGATCTTTTAATACATAATTACACTAATAAATTTACATATATGAATTATGAAGATTGTGTTTTATAGTAATGTAGATTTCATTGCATGATAAAATCCTTTGTAAAATCCAAAATATATGTTACATTACTATTCTTGTACAATTCCATAGATTTTTAATTACATAGATTGATGAAGTCCCTTGTGCTCAGAGCTCATGAATTGCTCTGCTTAGGTAGCAATCTATTATGTTCTTGCTTAGCCCTAGTACAAGATGGTGACAATACAGTGGTGCCTCGCTTAGCGAGCGCACCGTATAACGACGAATCCGTATAGCGATCCCCTTTTTCGGGATCGCTATACGGAGCACCCAATCGCTGCACTCGCATTGCGACGATTGGGGAGTCCGACGGCCATTTTGGAGCCGAGTTCGGCGGCTCCAAAATGGGCGCCGGATGACCCGAAATGGCCCCGCATGGCGTTTTCGCGCCCTCCCCTCGCTTGCCGAGGGCGCGAAAATGGCTGCCCGGGGCCAGGAAACTTCTCTAAGTGGGAAGTTTAGGGCCGATTTGGAACGCATTAAATGAAGTTTAATGCGTTCCAATGGCTTTTTACTTCCCACTTAGCGAAGATTTCACATAGCGAAGGTTAATCCGGAACGGATTAACCTCGCTATGCAGGGCACCACTATATAGACCTTTTAATACCACTTTGAAATCTAAAATTTGCTTTGCAATAGAGTATGATCGGCTGTTCTCTTTTTGTAACATAACCACTGGCCATGCTTCCTATTGAATTCATGAGAGCAGTAATATAAAATAGTAATTTTCCAACCTCTGTATATAAGTAACAGAGTTCAGATACCTATAGTCTTTTCGTATATTCAATATGGGGAAAGTGAAAATGATTGTGATTGCTCATCCTGTCCCCAACATCATGTACTGTATTTTAATCCTGTCCCCAATGTTCATTTATTGGAAAAAAGTTCTTACATACATACAGCTGTGTGTATGTATGCCCCCCACTGCCAATATTCTATGCTACACACAAAGGCTAGGGTCAGAGCTGAAAGCATGATAGTACCAGTAGGCATGGACGCATTTCTTTATGTGCAGTAGAGAAGACACCTGTGGACAGCTCTTACTTTCAGCCACAATTGGAATGAAAAGAAGGGAGATAAGGGGCACTACTATAACATTATATAATAAAGCTTGAATAACAGGAAGAATGCAGTGGCTTTTATGTTCCAAGAAAGTTTTCTAATTAGTTCTGTTCAGGCAAGCTTTCCTTCAATGACTAGCTACCTGAGCATGATCTTTTTAGATGAACTAAAAAAATGTTATGCATCACTGTTTTCACTGTGTTTTAAATATTGCTTGTGTTTCCCATTTCTAAGAGGGATATTTTGTTTGTTCCTTTTAAGTATTTCTATAATTAGTGTTTTTAGCTTTAAATACTGCTTTTTAATTATGTGTGTCACCTTTATATACTCATTGTTTTGTTCTTAAATATTTGTTGTAAGCCGCCTTGAGTCTTTTTCTAAGGAAAAAGGTTGGGTTAAAAATATTTTAAATACGTTTTTAAAATAGTTTTCTTGAACAACAACAGCCCCTCATACTGATTTCCCAGAGGTATCTTCAAAAGGAATTTTAGGAAACACCTGAAAAGATCTAGTCTGCAATCCAAAAAGCTACTTTAGATGGTTTTATGGACTTGATCATACCAAGTACACTTTTGAATAAGTGATATTAACATGTAGAAAGAATTTTAGATTGGGGCAACCAAATGAATTTAAGCCCCACTGACAATAGTGGACTCTGCTTTTATGTAGCATGCATAAAATAGAATAGAACTTTACCACTTGGCCTTCAGCTTTTTGAAAGCTGTCTTTTTCTTTTAGGATATTGACATGCATTATGAACCTACGGACACTGCTGCTATGGCCCGCACATCCAATCTAAATGAAGAGCTTGGCCAGGTAGGGTTCCCCCACCCCTAGTTTCTTAATATGTACATTATTCAGTAGTTTTAATTTGTGGATTTTGTTCTGTAGTTATTAATTATTTTAATAAGGAGGGAGAAGATTGTATTTATTGCAAATTCCATTAAAGCACACACCAGTCTGAATTGTACTGATTACATTTTTCATGATTGCAGGGAGAGGTCAGTTGGGAAATACTGGTGTTTTACTACGGAATTTAGTTTCATTTATACCTAGCATATTCTTATGAAAGCTTACATTAATATAAATTTGTCTCCTACAGAGAGGAAGGGAACTATTATAAAGACAGCTCCCCTCAACTGGAGCTGTGATGGTAGTCTCTTTGGAGACAATTGGAAGGGGACCTAGGTCCTTAAAAATAAATGTAATTCCAACTAAGGTTGTAAATTCTAGTGATAAATAAGAACATAAGAAAGGCAAAGAGAGTACAAAAACAAGACCTTCACAGAGATGTGTGACAGCTCTAGGGATGCAAGTGGTGGTGGAACATCTTCCTCCTGCTTAAACTGAGAAAAGGGGTATTATCCCATCCACTTTGCTTGCCTCCTACTTAATGACCAAAGAAGATTCATGACATGCTACACCTGCTGAAATTTTCTTTTCTGTACAATTATTAAAGGAACAGGAATGCTGTCTTCCATTTAATCTAGCCATTTTACCTATGGCCGTGGTATGTTCTCTTAGGAATATGTTCTGAATTCTGCTACAGTCTAGTGAGATATGTTTTTGTGAAAACCTGTTTTCCAGCAGCTTTTCAAACTCTGGAGACCAAAGTGAACTTATCTAATGGAAGTATCTAGAATTTACCTCCATCTAGAAAAGAGTTCAAGTAGCCTTCCTTATTTTCTTGATAATAAAAAAAAATGGAGCAACTTGTACAATTAAAAAACTTAGAACATCAAGAAGTTTTTGGAAGAACAAATTCCACATGGAAATCCTGACACATTCTTACATATTCAGAAAGGAAGATTAACTGGCATTTATTAACATTTGTGCCAAGAACAGACACCACTATGTCCAGTTCACACATGGAAACCAGCAATATCAATTTCATGCCCTTTCCTTCAACTTGTAAATATATTTTTAAGGTGCAATATGCCCACTGTGAATGTATTTCTCTGAATTATTTGTATATATGTTTTACAGTTGCTTTCGTGACCAAACTAATTAAAATTACCTGCTGTTACCCAGAGTCTGAAGATGTTACAAGTTCTGTACAGAACAGCTGGAGATGGGACAGGAATGTCAGATTGGGTATAATAAGGGAAACAATGAACAAAATTATTGCTGTGTTTAGCCAAGAGTAGAAGTCTTTTTCTTCTTAAAATACATTTTAGATCTGTTTAATTTATAATAATTAATAATACTTTGCCATAAAAGTCATTTCCAACTTATAACAACCATTGTTTGATTTTCTAGTGTACATTACTCAGAAATGTTGAAATTAGAGATGGGAGTATTCATATACGAATATGAATATCCCCACACAGGTGGCGATAATGAGGGTCCAGCCCCATGGGGCTGGACGGTCCACTCACTGATCTGCCACAGATGTCATGATTCTTCCAATGGCTCTGTAGATCATGATCTGTGATCTACTCTTTGACCTTGCAGCGAGGCGTTTCCTCCTGCCAGGAGTGGCTAGCCAATCGTGATCTACGGAGCCATTGGAAGAATTGTGCTGTCTGTGTCTGCATCGGATCGGTGAATGGACCCAAGGGCTGGACCCTCGTTATCGCCACATGTGCGGGGATATTTGTATATAAATACCTGCATCTCTAAATCAAAATATATGAGCTAAAATTCTGTTGTGCAGCTCTTCCTGCATAATGGGAACAAAATCAGCAGCAAATTACTAGTGATTAAAGGCTTCCCTTTGTGATTTCAGGATGTACAAGACTTTTTCAATGTTGTGTATGAGTCATGCACCCCCAAATCACAGAAGGAATCAAAGTCAGTTTGCCACTGCTAATTACATTGTTCCTGTTGCACAGGTGGAGTTGCACAACAGGATTTCAGTTGTAATGTTTTAAACATTATGGAAGTATCTAAAATATGCATAAACAATATTAATGTATATTTTATGAAAATAAAAGTAATAAACTTTAACATCTGTTTAGGTCAAATACATATTTTCTGACAAAACGGGCACCCTTACATGCAATGTAATGCAATTTAAGAAGTGCACTATTGCAGGAATAGCTTATGGGTAAGTTCTTTAAATAATTCTTGGGTTTATACTTTTTTAATTGTTTGGAATAAAGTGTTTTACTATAAAATTTGAGACTTCAGTAAAGCCAAATATTTACTATCATTTCACTTTGGAATATCTCTTTAATAAATGAAGTTAAAGGGCCCCAAACCTGTGATATGAGTATCTCAGTACTGTATTTTTCCATGTATAATCATCACACTAAAAATTGAGGGGCATCTTTTGCACGGATGTAAGCTGAGATAGCTGAGGAGAGAACAAAACAGCACATACCTGGCCTCTGTAAACAGGCTTCCTTCAGTCATGAGGCTTAGCTTCCTATAGCCAGGAGACTTGGTTTCCTCCAGTCATGGTCCTTATGGAACTGACATCAGCTGGTGCTGTACAAACCAACTGGAACACACCTCCTTGGAGGTGGAGTCTGTAGCCTCAGATTCAACAGGGACTCCTAATGGCCCAGAGGCTGAATACTCAAAGCTAAGTTTTCTTAATCTGGGGGTTAGAAAATTGGAAGGGGTTGTCTTACAAATGGGGGCATGTTATAAACAGAAAAATACAGTAACTACCATTATAATAGTTTCTTAGTCCAGTTAATAATGTCTCCTTTTAAATGCATGAATAGCTGAGCAATCTGGATGTTTTGCAAAGATGTATTTTATCCATGAACTAAAACTTGGATTTGTCATATTGTCAAATAAATCTAACCACAACACTAATAACCACAAACCTCTTGTCTGTCAAATTGCCTGGGAAATATTTTGTCTGCTAGTGACATGAGGGTTGCTATCAGTAGCCAATCAGAATTTCCAGGAGTGGGGAGCTGTAAAAGGGACATGAACTAGTTGGAACACATTGCGAGGATTTTTTTTCTTTGTTCTGCTTAATCCTTGTGACATGTGAGCTCCTAACAGGTTCCTTTTTGTGCTGCCCACCAGCCTGTGCCCCTGACTCTTGCAATCTTTTCTTTTCCCTCAATTTACAGTGGTGCCTCGCTTAACGGCGATAATCCGTTCCAGGAAAATTGCTGTTAAGCGAAAATGTCGTAAAGCAAAAATAAAAAGCCAATTGAAACGCATTGAAAACCATTCAATGCATTCCAGTGGGCTAAAAACTCACAGTCCAGCGAAGATCCTCCATACGGCGGCCATTTTCGGGAGGCCATTAGTGAGGAATCTGTCCCTAAACATAGCAAGGAGCCATTTTAATTACCCAGCAGCCATTTTGAAACCGCCGATCAGCTGTTAAAAAACCATCGTTTTGCGAAGAATCGGTTCCCGAAGCAGGGAACCGATCATCGCAAAGCGAAAAAACCCTATTTAGACCATTGTTTTGCAATCGCAAAAGCGATCACAAAAGTGTCGTCATGAAGCAGATTCATCATAATGCGGGGTAATTGTAAAGCAGGGCACGACTGTATTTGGGGTATTTTTTCAGCTCTTTTGTTGTTTCTTTTTTTTTTTTTGATTCCTTTGCTTGCTGCTGCACTGGACTTGGAGAAGAAAAGGAGAACATGCGGAGGAATCTCCCCATATTCTACTCACTTTTGTTTAGGAGACATTTTTATTGTATTTCATGCTTTTGTTTGTTTGCTTGCTTTTCTTGCCTTATGGGAGAGGGAACTCTGTGTGTATATGAGTGTGTGTGTGTCTATGTGTCTGTGTGTTTTATTTATTTTCCTTGTGTTGGAGGTATGATGGATACTTTCCATGTTTGATTTTTCAAATTGTTATTTGGTTAATTGTGTATTCCACATGTTCTCCTGTTAAAGGTGTATGTTTTAAGGAACTGTTTTAAAGAACTGTTTGGGTGGTGGTAATGGTTAGTTGCCTGCTTATGGAGTAGGTTGATTCTGTGTTGCTTTTCCTCTGCTTTCTGGGGATAGATTTTTGGGGTTCTTTGACGGGGGCTTGGAGTCATGGCAAAAAAAAATATGAATGGGGAAAACAAAACAAAATGACACAAAAGAAGTAGCCCTTTTGATGTTAAACAAAAGACCTGGTGCAGAAAATAATGAAAGAGGAACCTCTCAAAAGAACCCTAAACAGGGGGAAAAAAACCTAGTCCTGTTTCCCTAGTCCTTATGCAGCAGCCCATCTGAAGTAAGATTCTTATTAGAAGTAACAGTGGATCCTGGAAAGGGGGCATCATAAATTCCTCCAAAGTTAGACATGGATTGACTGAACTCCTCTCCAAAGTGATCAAGCAGAATTAGAACAAGAATCATGTATAGCCTCCTAAATGAATGTTCAGTCAGAAGTGTACTAAAAGTGGTAACGCACACACAAAAAGAGGATTGCTATTATAGATGTTAACCTTTCCTGGAATGGAACGGGGAAATATTAAGAAAATTGGCTGCAATGGGTTCTCTGTGTTCTGACTTAGAACTATGGTATCCTCTACTTAACTCTGTGGGAGGGAACTTGCTTCTGAATAGAAAATGTGTTTATGTTCATATTTAGAGGACTATATTAACCTATGTCATTTCCAAAACTATGTCAAGAGATTGTGCTGCTTTAGTGCTGTTCCCTGGAAATAATTACTGTTGAATGCCAAAATTGAATGACAAAGCGAGTTATTATTTAAGCATTTTCCCAAAAACCAATTTGGTATTACTTTTTATCCTCTAATTGTTAGCGTTATATGCATTTTTGCTTTGCCTTAATATTTAGGCTAATGTTAACAGAAGTAATATGAGTCTTCACTAAGTGAAATCATTACAGCATAATAAAAAGTTTCATTGATAGTGACTTTTGGTTTCCAGATACATCATTTTTAAGTAGTCCTTTAATCTAGTAGAGACCATATTGGATTATGTACAGTGGAAAAAGTTATTGAGGTGGAGAAAGATGTTAACTCAAAAAGAAACCTTCCCGATCCCCATATTTGTCACTCTGCACTTGTTAAAGGGATACATCTGAATCAAGCATTTTTGATCCATGGAATCTTTCTGAATAATGTAGCACCCTGACAACTGTATAATCATTTACATCCAAATTATCAAAGAGATTCATATTTCTGGGCTTGGAAATTGAAGTCTCAGATATTTATATTGTTTGCCTTCAATATAAAGCAATTATTATGAACCTTTAAATCTTCTTCAGCTCATTTTAAAGCTGAGCCAAACACCCAGCCCTCTTCCTCCAACTCACCAACCCACCAATCCTTCACATTTCCCACTTCAAAAACCTGGCTGCTTCTCATGCTCTGGCAATGACTCTTATCCTTTGTTTCTGGCAGAAGGGGAGAAAAGACCCTTCCACGTCTGGTAATTTTGTGCACATCATTCTAGAAAAAATATGTTTATAGCCGTAGATTATTTTATATTCCTTGAATTTTTGTAATTGGGTTCATTGGCAGTGGAGAGAGGGGATTTACAGTTTCAAAGCAAAAAAGTGTGATTGTGAAAATATATTTAAAAGAGAAACAAGTATATCATTGGAATGATATCTAGAATGTAAACGACAGTTTATTTTGAATGCCTACTTTCCAAGTCTTGTGTAACAAAATGGATCACATTCTTAGAGAGAAAACAGTTGTAAAAAAAGGAAAGACACATTTCTCCGAGCACATATTGTGATCCATATAATTATTATTTTCATGCACATTTTGAATTAGCTCAGTAAAATATAGTAGTTTAGGGAAGACCAGATTAAAGTCAGACTGATTCAATCTGCAGCACAGGAGTGATCACGTTTTGCTTTTATTTATGGACTGATGCTATGAATGATGACATAGAGAAGACAGTGGAGTGAGAGTTTTCTTTCATAATGTTACAAGTCACATCAGTAGACAATAGATTCAGGTAAGCACTGGTCAGATAGCTACTGGTAGGTGATGCTCTATAAAATTATTTCCCAGACAATCTGTTAGCTGTGATTGTTAAATGAGAAATTCCTGTCTTCAGAGTGAGAGGTATCTGTTGGAATGAGGTGGTGAGGCAGGCAAGTAAGACTGCTGTGTTCTTGTCTTGTTCTAGTTTCCAAAAAAAATCTGGTTGTCTAATATTGGATACTCAGTCCCTTCCTGTAGGGATATGATCTGGCAGGGCAGTTCATATCTCAGTCTATATTTCTGTTATGCTCACAACAATTTTAAGAAGTGAACCATTAATCACATGCCAGGCATCATGCAAAAAACAGCCCAGAATGGATAGTGGAATTTGGTTCCTGCCGATTTTGTTTTCTGGCTTGTTACGTCATTCCCCTCTCATCTGATGGGAAGGGTGAATACCTCTGTTCCAGGCTGTTTTGTGTAATATCAATTTTATACCTGGAACCGGTACCGGAATGTGGTCACTGAGGCTTTTTTATGGCTGATTGCATCAATCTCATCTAGTGTAATAGGACAAATTAATTTCATCGGGATTTCCTAGTTGGAAGTCTCTGTTCCTCTGTCCAGAATGGATACTGGAAGTCTTGTTCTCGGGAGTGTTTTATGGCTGGTTCCTTCTGTCCCCTCTAACTGGATCAGGTGGGTGAATTTGGCTGGGCTGGCCTACTTGGAAGGCAGCTTGCATCATTAAAAGACAATATTTAAATCTACGAACAGTAAATATACAAATATTAAAATGATCAAACAGATACCACTCTGTGAAATGGTAAACACAAGCAATACTAAAAGCAAATTCAAAGCAGTAAGGCTGCTTACAGTTCATTTAAAAATCCCACTCAGGCACCCAGTCACTGAAGGAAAGCTTGCCTGAAGAGAAAGGTTTTTGCATGTTCCCAGAAGGATAGCAAAGATGGGGCTAGTCTGGCCTCCTCTGGGAGGGAGTTCCAAAGTCTGGGAAAAGCAACAGAGAAGGCCTTCTCCTGTGTCCCCACCATACACATGTGGGAAGGTGGTGGGACTCAGAGAAAAGTGTCTCCTGATTATCTTAACACCTTAACAAGCTTAAGATATTGATCCCGCAAATCCTCAGAGAGCAGTCTGTTAGAAAATATGCCATGTCCTCCATCTCACCATTGTACACTCATTTTTTTTTAGCTTTAAATATTATCTTTTAATGATGTAAGCTGCCTTGGGTCCTTTTTAAGGAGAAAGGTGGGATAAAATATTTTAAATAAATAAATGTTGATTTACTGCCTAGAACAGGTATTGGAACATTGTTCTTGCAGATGATTTGGGGCTTGTTGCACTTATGTAGTCACATATGTGTTATGAATCTGGTTTGGTTATCCTAGTCAGAAGTTGCTGTTCTGGGCCATTGTGTTCCATTCTGGTGAGTTTTCAGACAACAAAAGGTTAAAGAAAGAGTAATATTCATTAGGTATGAGGTCTAAATAAATATTTTTTGGACCTTTGCCCAACACATTCCACTATTTGTGACATCAGTTATTATTAAGAAGTCCCCATTTTGGCCTATTCCATTTCAGCTTTTATTTAGTCCCAGTATATACATATTCTAATCAAAACTCCATAGCTCATTTTTATACAAACAGAAGAATTCAGATTCATTTGTTCACAGTAGGCTACTGCAGTATGTTTCATATTCTAATCCTTAATTTTCATTGCATATTAATTGTATTTATTTACATTAAACTCTCCATTCTGTACCTTCTAACTGGACACCTTTCTCTGCTGTATACCTTCATTTTTCTACTACCTTTGCTTTTCATGCAGCCATTGTCCTGAATCAGAGGATTATGGCTATTCTGCAGATGATTGGTAAGCACTAAACTAACCTTCACTTAAGACTTTACTAATTTTGCTAAAGCCAGATTATGTATCATTATCATTAACTATGAACCATTTTAAAAGTACATAATTAAACTGGTATCTATTATGCACAAGGGAAACAGCTTTTGACTCTGAAAGAGAGCAATCTTTGATGATGCCTCTAATGTTGGTTATCAGGAGTGCAAGCATTATTTATCAAGAAAAAAAGATTGGAAGTTTATTGATTATATCAACATTTGTTTTCTAATTATGATTATTTTTTTTCAGATTTTCGACAGGCAGCTTGACTTCAGAATTTTAGGAAAAAATTGTTAGAAAACATATATTCAAATATACCATAAGCCAACAAAGCCAAATGTTTCCTCTGACGGCAAATCTGATACATTGCCAGAAATTGCTTTATGTGTGTAAATAAATGCTCAAAGAATATAGTTTTAAAATGCCATAATAAGTATATGTTCAATTATTATATATTAGTTTACTCTGCAAAGTTCTAGCTAGAAACTACAGTATGTGTCCTTAGATGGTCTTTTGTTATAGACAAATACTGTATCTCTTGCTTTTCATTTTTGTGTGTATTTCTTTTTTAGGCAAAGTTCACAAACAAGAGAAGAACAAATGTTTAGTGATCAATCGCTGCTGGAAAACCTTCAAAATAAACATGTAAGATAAAGATATACATGTTACAGTTAAGTAAAGAAGAAACTTTAATCAAAACAATAATGTGCGGGAAAGTAACTTATATCCCAAACTGTAACTTGCACTTAGAATGTGCCTCATTGATTTAAATAACATTTGTTTTTACATGAGATCATAATGAAAACAGTTGTTTCTTATAGAAAAAAAATCATTCAGAACCAAGGAAAAAATTAACACTTTTCCCACTTAAAGCTTTTTTTAGAAGCACCCTATCATCAGATTAGAGATGAGCATGACCAGCAAAATGGTGGTTTGTGGCTTATTGAAGTCCAGAAACCACAAACATCCCAAAATTTTGAAAAAAAGAACCACAAATCAGTTCATGTTGGTTTGTAAGTTCAGGAACTCTAGAACACCCTCCCCAGCTACCTAGAGACAGCAGAATTACAGAGATGTTTCCGCTGACTCTTCTCTACACCCCCTCCAAATTTGGTGAAGTTTGGATTTTGGATGTCCACATAAACCCCCTCAAAGCAGGTCCCCCCCAGGAAAGTGCTATTCAGGTTAAACCGCAAAAGCAAGGTCAGAAGTCCAGCAGTCATAAGATCAAATCCATGTTACAGAGTGAGCTACCATCGCTTGTCCCAGCTCCTGCCAACCTAACAGTTCGAAAGCATATAAAAATGTGAGTAGATAAATAGGTACCACCGTGGTGGGAAGGTAACAGCGTTCCATGTCTAGTCGCGCTGGCCACGTGACCACGGAAACGGTCTATGGACAAACGCTGGCTCTATGGCTTGGAGACAGGGATGAGCACTGCACCTTAGAGTCGGACACGACTGAACTAAATGTCAAGGGGAACCTTTACCTTACCTTGGTGGAAATTCCATCAATGGTTCATTCCAGGGAATCAGACACAGAGTGCCGCTCATCAGGAGATGGACTGGGAAGGGACACGTCCCTTTCCTCAAGCCCCATAGACCAGGGCCCGGTGCCGGTCCGTGGGCTTACCGGAACTGGGCCGCGGAGACAAGTCTCCACCTCCCCGGAGGGGCGTGTCGCATTTGCTGAGGGGTGTGTTGCCCTCCTGTTCCCCCAGCGCCCCTTCCCTGCAGGGAAGCTGTTGTGGGCAGCTTGCCCGGGAAGCACCAACAGCCAGTCACTGTGCTTGGCGCCACCCCACCCAGGGTGAGTGGCCGATCCTGCTGGTTCCTGCAGGGCCGTGGCCGCCTCTTCCCGGGCGGGAAAGGTGGGCTGGGCCGGGCTGCATGAGGCACCGCTTCTCCTCCGTGGAAGAGGTTCCAGGAGGGCGGCTTCCCCTCCGCTGCTGCCCCCGAGTGGGGCTCACCTTCTGGGGCCTCCCATCGGAGCCTCGCTCCTGCCCTTGCAACAGCAGCTCCGCGGTGGCAGGGGATGCTTCCCCTGCTGGAGAAGGAGGAGGCGAGGACTCCCGGGCAGGGCCGCCAGGAGCGACGGAGCATAGCATTGTCTATGGCAGTGGTCCTCAACCTTTTCTGGTCTGCGGACCACTGGGGGGGGGCAAGCGCCATGTGCAGACCAGTTAACAGGTTGGACACCCCCGTGCTCACGGGTGGGCGTGTCCCACTCCTGCCATATTTTCATTATTTTCCCACTTCTTATTCATTTTCTCTTATGAGCTGTCTTCTCCTTGGATATTCTCACATGTAATGCTGAATGTCTGATTCTACAAGCACAAGCTGAAAGAATTGCAAGGCAAGCTTTCAGAATGTGCATGTCTATTTTTCTCTTCTACACCTGCATGGTTGGAAACAAATTTCTGCAGAGTGTCCTTTAAATTTTTCTATATGTGCGCTTATGCTATCTTGACCAGCAATTATGGTTTATCACAGACTCTGAAAAAGAGACTGATTTTGAAACCAACCAGTTTGTGATAAACCATGAGCCTCATTAACAAAAAAACCTGGGAGTGAAGAAACTGAAAAGGAATACTGCCAGATTTCCTAATCCATATAGGCAAATGAGATAGGAGTGTAAGATTTCATTCAGGCTTATTTCAGTTTATGTATAGTGCTGGACTATGGTTAGTATTATATGTGAGTGTACCCATTAATTTCATTTTGCTTATACTATCTTTGTGTTTAGACCTCAGTTTATTTCTTCTGTGCCTTCATCACCTCTGTCTTATTCTTGAATTATTTTATTATTTGGGAACATCTTTTTATTTGGAAACATTATTTTTGTTAATTGGAAACTTTTCACACCTGCATACATCTTGAATTTGATACACTGAAAATCCATCTTTCTTCCCAAGGCTCTTACCATTTATCTTCTCTTTTGTGTTTCCCTACCTTTCAATACCAGCTTTCTGTCTTTATTTTGATTAGCTTTTGACTTGCTCAGATTTTTTTGTTTTTATCTTTTTAAGGGTTTGTTATTTAAAACATTATTTTTATTCTTATTTTCTTGATATTATTATCTATCTATCCATCCATCCATCTATCTAAATATCATTGACTGTAAATTATGGTTTCTTCCTGTGCTACCTTGAAGCCTTGTTCTTTAGTAGCACTAAGATGACATAATGTGTTTCATGCATTAGATTGTTGCCAAGAGTTAGATTAAAAACAAGCCTAGCTTTTTGTTTGTCAAAAGATACAGTAATAGTTAATATAATCTCAACCTTATGGCACTTGGCCTATTCATATGACCTTAAATTCATACCATTCTTCTCTATGTTTTTTCTTCTGTTTTAGCCAACTGCACCTATAATCTGTGAGTTTCTCACAATGATGGCCGTGTGCCATACAGCAGTTCCAGAAAGAGAGGCTGATGAGATAATTTATCAAGCAGCATCTCCAGGTAAGACTTATATAGCAATATTTAAATCTATAAATATAAATGTATTTATTCTTGTTAGGTTTTATTATATGGTCATAGGCCCGAAAATTCAAAGATAAAAACAATACAAGATATACAGAATAAGTAAGTTGTTAGAGCATATTGGCAGTATAAATCTTGAATCAGATGGTTCCGCTCCCTCCTTTCACCCGATGCTCGAGTCCCCTCGCGCCGGGCTGAGCTCAGTCCCTGGCCAGGCGTGAAGGGGAGTCAGCAGCTGTGGCAGCACTGGGTGAAAGGAGGGAGCCGATTTCTCCCTGGCTGCCTGGCTTGCTTCTTCAAATATTTTTATTTTTGGGGGGGTTATTTTTTTTTTTTCCGCCAGAACAGATTAATTGGTTTTCAATGCATTCCTATGGGAAGTGCTGGCTCAATTTACGAACTTTCCGATTTACGAACTGACTTCCAGAACGCATTAAGTTCGTAAATCAAGGGTTGACTGTACTCATTATAGCTGACATGTATCCCAGGTTAACTCCAGAATGAAACCAAACAATCTTTGACAATCATATCCACATTTATTTAAGTAAAGTATGTATTTGCAATAATTTCTGGTAACATTACCTTGTCTAATTCTGCAACCTATATTTATCTACAATTTCCTGTCCTGTTATACATTTCCCTTATGTCGTCTCTGTGCATCTCCATGACTCTCTAGCAGAGATCGGCCTTGTAATGTTGAGGGAACTGCTAAATTACTATGGAATGTTTGAGATAGTGTTTTCAATGGACTCTTTATATTAGCCCATATGTGAGAAAGGTAACATAAAACATTTAATACAGATATAAAAGTAAAAAGATAAAAATAATTTTGTATTCTTAATGTGTAGCCTGCATAATTAACTTGTAAACCGCCCAGAGAGTGCTTGAAGCGCTATGGGGCAGTATTATAAGCAGCATGCTTTGCTTTGCTTTTTAATACTCTCAGGCTGTGTTACCAGTTAGCAAAAGACTCCCGGAGTCTTTCAAGGGCCACTCAACTAGAGCTTTTATTGCTTCAATGGCCTTCCTCAAGGTGATCCAGCTAAGAGACATCTGTAAGTCTGCGCTGTGGTCGTAGCCTTCCAAGTCATCAAATGCTACAGATTGGTTTTCAAGTTTAAACTTGATGCTGCATTTGGCAGAGCAGAAATCTCTTCTGTTTTGGCATGAAATCCCACCAACCTGTAAGTGACTCGCCAGTCACCCATACGAGTGATTTGTGAAAACCATAAAGGAGGACAAAATGGAACTGAGGGACGGTTAGGCTGGGCGTGCGCAGTAGGGGTAGTCCTAAACATTGTTACTTTTCTCTTGCAGCTAGAAAACGTTCCGAGAGGCCCAACGCTGGCGCTGGTATTAACCCTTTGTGTGAATTCACAGAATGACCACTTGAAGAACCATCGTTACAGGTAAGTAACCTTTCTTTCTTCAAGTGGTCATCTGTGAATTCTCACAATCCATCTATCCTACCCCCAGTCTGCCATACTACTAAATTCTTTCATATACAGCAGTGGACTAGAGGAACTGAGGAATGGTTGCTGGGTACTGGACATCCACTGTAGGAGGGTCTATTCTAACCTTTGTTTAAGCTCTGAAATGTTCTGAGAAATTTCACACAGACGCAGAAACATAAATATTTGTGAATTCGTAGATGACCACTTGAAGAGCTAGTTACCAGTATAAGTAACCTGTCCATTTAATGGCAATGAATTACATTCACATGAGAATAAGTGCAGTAGATAACAAGGTACTTCCAATGGACTATTCCATGAGCCACCAGTAAGAAGACATTGATCATCTGGTCTGTGTTTTTATCCTTAATTGATGGTTTTCTAAAAGACACGGTGGGAAAAATAGGGAAGCTTAAAAGTGGAAGAAAATATTAAAACCAGCTAAATAGTTATGTGAAAGAGCCATGACAATTGAATGATGGAATGTCTGGAAACATCTATGAGGTGTAAACGTTTGGCTGTATAATTTAAAGACATGTACTGGGGAGTATAGAAAAGTAAAAAATTAGTTGTCAGTATTTCACTGTTCAATTTGCCTCTGGAAATAATGAGATGGTTGGTTACAGATGAAGGAGCATTGGTTAGAGCAGCTAAACAACTTAATTTCATTTTCACTGGAAGAACACCAGACTCTGTGATTATAGAATCTGTAAGTATATTTAAAATAGCTATCTCTCCTAGTTCTTGTACCAAACAATGTCATGTTTATCTGTAACCATAATAATAGTGCATGTGTGTATGTGTGTGTATCTCCATTATAGTTCCAAGACTGAAACCTAGATATCTGAAGCTTGGCATACATACTAAGAGAACCTTTAGGGTATGGATCACCAGGGATTTTGATTTAACAAATTGATAGTGATCGATGAAAAATTGTATGTAGCCTGCAGTATCTTACTAAGTCGCTAGGTAACATGAAGCCACTGGCCCACTTGATGGCAAGCACTAGATGCCTCCAGAGTAAGATGGCTCATTAGAAGTAATATGATTCTTCAAACGTAAGGAATCTTTTCAAGAGTGGGCAGCCATGAGATTTCATCCAAATGTTTGCAGCGTCTGTTTTGGTTGGACTTGCACAGGACCAAATGACATAAATCTTCACTAGTGGTCTTCCCGCTTCTGGAAGATCACAGGTTCTACTGTTGTGTAAAGCTTGCCTGTACATTCTGTATATGTTTATGTATCTGGAACAATTCAGGCTTTAACCTCTGTGTAATCTAGCTACCTGGTTTGACTTGATGTTTCCTGTCTCCATGTATGAGTTTATAAGCATGTAATTATTATCAGAGAGACTGACAATAAGAATTACTGCTACCTGCTTTGGGAGGGGGGAGCTGAATGTGTGATACAGCTGGAAGGAGAGAAAAACAATGAAGAAAAAATAGTGGAAGTTTCATTTGTCATATTGTCTACCTGGCTGGGATTTACCTGAACTGTAAGCCATTCACCTTGTGCTGTTTACACCTTTAGCTGGTCTGAAAAATATTGGACCTGTATGTTGGACACTGTTCTATCAGTTTTATACCACTTTAGTTGTCTTTGGTTCATCCTAAGAAATCCTGGAGCTTGCAAATTAGTGAAATTCTTCCAGTGTACTTTAGAAGAGAAGGATTGAGTATTAAATCAGCTTAATTCTGCAATGTAGATATCTTGGGAAGTGTTCAGTAGAGTGGACTATTGCTACATAACAGAATTCTAAATCTAATTCTAATCTAATTGTCTGGTTGGATTACTGCAGAAATGTAGTATCAGTGTGTATGTGAGAAGAATTTAGGAAATGGACGAATTAATAAATACACAAACAGAAACTTCAAATCCAGATATGAGCTTCAAGGCAAAAAAAAGTGGCTGGGAATAGCTACAAAGAGAAGCTTTTCCTTTAACAAAGCTGACTGGCTAAAACATGTGAAATAGCCTGTTGTGTGTTTTTAACCTTCTTCCTCTGGGTTAGAGAGATCCAAATTCCTCTCCCTTCTCCTGCTTCCACCTTTTCTATTGCCATCACAAAAGGGTTTTAAAGAAATAGTTCACTGGCTCAATTACCTGGTCAGGTGAGTAAAAAAGGTGTAGGCCTGAGCCACACAAAATGTGTATTCTGGAAAAAGTGGAGCAGACAAGAATTGCAGTATGGCTGGCATCCTGTGGTACAGCAGGAGTCACTGCATATTTGTTTTGTATGTTCAAGAGCGTATTTACTGCCGTACAAAGAAAAGCCAAACTCTGTTTCCTCTCTATAAAATAAGTTTGGCTGAAATGTTTTTGTGATGTCTTCATATGTGAGTGTACTGGTCAGTCCTTTCATAACCCACAAGATGATTTGCATAATGAGCCATAAGATATACAAGATGTAGACATGGCTGTCTTTATTTGAAAGATACCACCATCTTGACACAGAGAGAAATGTTTGGTGTCTGGAAGGATGATAAGAAAAGTAAGGAGAGTAAAAGGCTGAATGAGCCCCAAATCTCCATGGAGAAAAAGAGCATATGCTAGTACAGAAAATACCACTAAATACCTTTTGGGGAAAAACTAACATTTTATGTATATATATTTTCAGCTTGGACAGGAAGAACGTTATGAATTGCTAAATGTGCTGGAATTCACAAGGTAACTGAGCACATGACAATTATATGTGTTTCTTTAAACAGTTATTTCTTTGTTTTCTTTATAAATTAGAGCCTGTGAAAATGAAACCTATGTTCATCAAAGGAGAATTTAATCAAGAGCATTTTCTATGTTCAGATGTTCAAGCACAATTACAAGAGCAAGCTTAGACCACTATGAGCACTATATGTATATAGCTGACACATTATTGGGTTGAATGCAGAATACAATGGTCCTTCTGTTCACAGAATGGTGTGGAATGTATCAGAAGCTCTTGCTGGAGGAAAGAATGCTCCCTTTTTTTCTAGAAATCCCCACTTCCTTCCCTATTGGAAAGAGTCATCCAGCTCTCTATTGTAGATTTGCCAGTGGGACAGATGCATGCTGGTTAGTGGTAGGGAAAAATTAGTAAAAATGGATCAATTTAATTGTCTGCAAAAGAGCCTGTGTAAGTCAGCAGTAACTGCTTGAATGGATTTGAGAGATATATGCTCTTGTTCCCAGTGTGCCACAGAATCTCACCGGGTGACCCTGAGGCAGCTAATTTTTCTCAGCCTGATGTATTTCACAGAGTTGGTGTACAGATATAGTGGGAAGAAGGAGAGTATGTGTGCTTCCTTGTGCTTACTGGAGAAAGAAGACAGGATGTATATTTTCATATGTTGTAAACATTGCAATGGTTAAATATGGGCGGTAGGAATGGGAGATTCAGTGGCTCGCTGTAACGAATTTGTTACACACTTTGAGGGAAAAATTGCTCAGATTTGCAGAGATTTGGACTCCACTGTTGATGCAGAGCCTATGGTTGTGTCCAGTGCTCCGGACTTATGTTATAATTTATTGGATGAGTTCCAGTTGTTGTGACCTGAGGATGTGGACAGGGTGCTTGGATCGGTTTTAATATATGATATTTTACACTGTCTTTTAAAATGTTTTTAAGTTTTAATGTTGTACGCCACCCAGAAGCCACTGGTAATGGTGCGGCTAAAAAATATTGTAAGTAAATAAATAAATAAATAAGATTTAATGTTTTAAATAACTTTTCCCACACACACACACACACACATTATTTGCATCTGTTAAATTTTTTTTTCATTCCATTTCAAGATACAGTGAACTAACATGTAACTATCATGATATATATGTTAATTCTGAAGGGATTTTTCCTTTAGTAAAGTGTGCTACTTATATATGGCCCCTTACTGCTTAAATTACTTTCTGAGTGGTTTACAGCTTAATTATACAAGCTACACTTTGCCCCCTCAGCAAGCTGGGTACTCAAAATACTGTTTGAAATCAAATGTGCCTCTGTTTCAGTGCTAGGAAAAGAATGTCTGTCATTGTCCGCACACCTACAGGAAAATTGCGACTATACTGCAAAGGCGCTGTAAGTTATTTGTTCTTTAATGTACATTTTGGTGATAAATTTCTTTGTCAATGATAACCTGTGAAGCAATATGATAGAAATGGTGCCAGTGCAGATCTATAGTTTGCCAAGCGATACGTTCTTCCTTAATGTTGGCTTGCCTGTGTGTATTAATGAAAATGTGGTATGTGTGGGTGTTTCTGCCACACATTCCCTGTCTTTAGGAAGGAGCCAACCAGCAATTTGGGTTATTCCCCTTTGCCATCTTGTTGAGGCAGGGTTATCTCCACTCTGAGGTCTTTTCTTCATTGTCTCCCAATTAATGAAGCTTGAGTTTGAACCACTAGTAATAGACCGACTGGAGTTGCTTACTTACAGAGTGATTTGCCAGATCATCATTATTGTGGCAAAGAGAATTGAGAGTTGTGCACAAAGTACTCTCTTATGTATAGCTTTGTAAGTACAGATTGTGCTGTATAATTTCACCATCTTCCCCACATCAATGTCTTCCAAACAATTTCTCTCTCACCAGAACACTTATAGGAAATTTCTTTAGCCACCCACATAAAGATTTATCAAGTTCCAGTTGAGGTACTTCATTCTGAGGTACTTCACCATCCCCAACACAGATCAAGTGCTATGCATAGTTGTAGACCTCAGAGGTATAAATTCATTCATCTCTCCATAGTATTTTCTTACTCCTACAAAAGGAGGACTAGTTCATGTCTGTCATTGTGCAAGATGCCTACTTCTTGCATAACCATCTGCTCTTTCTAAAGGTGGTTTCTCTATTTTACAATAAAAGAACATACTAGTTTACAGTCCTCCCTTTTGGATTATCCACAGCCCCCAAAGTCTTCATAAATCATATGGCAGTCATTGCAATATATCTGTGAATGAAAGACATGATGATGTATCTGTACCTTGATGGCTATCTGATTATCCGTTCATCAAGAGCACATCCCTTTGCATGATGCTAACTTTGCTCAACAAATTTGGCCTCATGTTAATTACTAATACCAGATTCCATGATATCCAGAGTAAATTCTGGAGTTTCCTGGAGAGCTTCCATGCTTCTCCCTATGGAATGAGTGTTCCAACAAATGGTTTTGTCAGACCCTTGAGAGGATGCCTGACTGTGTATGTGCTATCACCGTATTCATACTCTGTGTTCTCATTGAAATCGAAACAATTTCTCTTTCTCATCTGGCTGTGGAAGTGGATCACAATGGGAGCAGATCACTTTGGAGTTTATAAGTACCCTAGCCACTATAGGAGCTATCAAATACCCCAGCCACTGATTCTAGGTACAACTGACAGAGGGTGCCATAATTAAGCAGTTTATTTGAATGTTATTAGGTGGTCCATTAGGATAACATCTATTAGTTCAGTTACAGTTGCTTGCTGTCATTAAGGCATTTTGTACTTTCAGGAGCTTACCAAACTATCATATTGGCAAATCGCAACAGACAACAATACAGTAATGTACTGCATCACAATTAAGGTAGAATAAAGTCTGCTTCTAAGTATACTGACAAAGCACATTTGGTCCTGGTGCTGTAAAAAAAAATCTTGGCAACAGCAGTCCATCTTCTGGGCTATTAAAATTTTCAAGCCGTGGCAGCTCCATTCCCAAACACCCCAGCTCCGCTTCCTGAAGTGAAGCAGACGAGACATCTGAATCTGTTTGTTATGGCTCACAACACCCACTGCCACATGTTCTGTTCCACAGGAAGACTGCACCATAGATCCCTGGGTGATGCCTTTCTCCACCAGGATAGCTGGCATGTGCCTTTCTTCCCTTCTCCCTGATAAAAGGGTCCTTGTGAAGATTCAACAAAACAATGTTCCCTAATCTTCTCAAAGCTCCAGTCTGGAATCTTCCTGCAGTACTTAGACATCCTGCAAACAAGCCCTTTGATCCTGTAGCCACAACTGATTTCTTACTACTGTCCTCAAAAATAGCCTTCCTGGTAGCCAGTGAGCTTTGTGCTGTTCATGTTGACTCACAATATACAGTGGACCCTCGACTTACAGACGGCTCGACTTACAGACTTTTCGAGTTACAGACTTCTCTGGCCGCAAAATTTAGATTCGAGTTGCAGCCGGAGAATCGACTTACAGACCAGAAAAAAACCAAAATGGAACAAAAATAGAATAAAAACCACTGGTTATGGGATTAATCGGTTTTCAATGCATTGTAGGTCAATGGAGATTCGACCTACAGACTTTTCGACTTGCAGCCACCGTTCCAATACGGATTAATTCCGTAAGTAGAGGGTCCACTGTATTGTTTTCCAAAACGATAAAGTGGTCCTCCACCCAAATATTTCCTTCTTCTGTAAAGTTGTATCAGAATCTCATCTCATGTAGTACTGTGCTGCCAGCTGTGCTGGCAGATTCAGAAGGGAGGGAAAGGAGTTAGATGTATGTAGTAGAGACGATAGAGCTACCTCAAAAATACTGTGTCTCAGCTAGGAAAGATTCCAGAACGTTCTATGAAGGTGCAGTACAGTAAATCCTATTAGTGTGAGTTCATAGCAGAACCAAATTACAATAAGCAACCTGTTGTTCTTCATATGGTCATAAGTAGATTCACATATCCTTCCTTTCTACCTTCTTCAGCCTATGCAGTTTTCTATTTCCTTTCTGCTATACAGTATTCAGATTCACACACACACACACACACATTATTTGCATCTGTTAAATTTTTTTTCATTCCATTTCAAGATACAGTGAACTAACATGTAACTATCATGATATATATGTTAATTCTGAAGGGATTTTTCCTTTAGTAAAGTGTGCTACTTATATATGGCCCCTTACTGCTTAAATTACTTTCTGAGTGGTTTACAGCTTAATTATACAAGCTACACTTTGCCCCCTCAGCAAGCTGGGTACTCAAAATACTGTTTGAAATCAAATGTGCCTCTGTTTCAGTGCTAGGAAAAGAATGTCTGTCATTGTCCGCACACCTACAGGAAAATTGCGACTATACTGCAAAGGCGCTGTAAGTTATTTGTTCTTTAATGTACATTTTGGTGATAAATTTCTTTGTCAATGATAACCTGTGAAGCAATATGATAGAAATGGTGCCAGTGCAGATCTATAGTTTGCCAAGCGATACGTTCTTCCTTAATGTTGGCTTGCCTGTGTGTATTAATGAAAATGTGGTATGTGTGGGTGTTTCTGCCACACATTCCCTGTCTTTAGGAAGGAGCCAACCAGCAATTTGGGTTATTCCCCTTTGCCATCTTGTTGAGGCAGGGTTATCTCCACTCTGAGGTCTTTTCTTCATTGTCTCCCAATTAATGAAGCTTGAGTTTGAACCACTAGTAATAGACCGACTGGAGTTGCTTACTTACAGAGTGATTTGCCAGATCATCATTATTGTGGCAAAGAGAATTGAGAGTTGTGCACAAAGTACTCTCTTATGTATAGCTTTGTAAGTACAGATTGTGCTGTATAATTTCACCATCTTCCCCACATCAATGTCTTCCAAACAATTTCTCTCTCACCAGAACACTTATAGGAAATTTCTTTAGCCACCCACATAAAGATTTATCAAGTTCCAGTTGAGGTACTTCATTCTGAGGTACTTCACCATCCCCAACACAGATCAAGTGCTATGCATAGTTGTAGACCTCAGAGGTATAAATTCATTCATCTCTCCATAGTATTTTCTTACTCCTACAAAAGGAGGACTAGTTCATGTCTGTCATTGTGCAAGATGCCTACTTCTTGCATAACCATCTGCTCTTTCTAAAGGTGGTTTCTCTATTTTACAATAAAAGAACATACTAGTTTACAGTCCTCCCTTTTGGATTATCCACAGCCCCCAAAGTCTTCATAAATCATATGGCAGTCATTGCAATATATCTGTGAATGAAAGACATGATGATGTATCTGTACCTTGATGGCTATCTGATTATCCGTTCATCAAGAGCACATCCCTTTGCATGATGCTAACTTTGCTCAACAAATTTGGCCTCATGTTAATTACTAATACCAGATTCCATGATATCCAGAGTAAATTCTGGAGTTTCCTGGAGAGCTTCCATGCTTCTCCCTATGGAATGAGTGTTCCAACAAATGGTTTTGTCAGACCCTTGAGAGGATGCCTGACTGTGTATGTGCTATCACCGTATTCATACTCTGTGTTCTCATTGAAATCGAAACAATTTCTCTTTCTCATCTGGCTGTGGAAGTGGATCACAATGGGAGCAGATCACTGTGGAGTTTATAAGTACCCTAGCCACTATAGGAGCTATCAAATACCCCAGCCACTGATTCTAGGTACAACTGACAGAGGGTGCCATAATTAAGCAGTTTATTTGAATGTTATTAGATGGTCCATTAGGATAACATCTATTAGTTCAGTTACAGTTGCTTGCTGTCATTAAGGCATTTTGTACTTTCAGGAGCTTACCAAACTATCATATTGGCAAATCACAACAGACAACAATACAGTAATGTACTGCATCACAATTAAGGTAGAATAAAGTCTGCTTCTAAGTATACTGACAAAGCACATTTGGTCCTGGTGCTGTAAAAAAAAATCTTGGCAACAGCAGTCCATCTTCTGGGCTATTAAAATTTTCAAGCCGTGGCAGCTCCATTCCCAAACACCCCAGCTCCGCTTCCTGAAGTGAAGCAGACGAGACATCTGAATCTGTTTGTTATGGCTCACAACACCCACTGCCACATGTTCTGTTCCACAGGAAGACTGCACCATAGATCCCTGGGTGATGCCTTTCTCCACCAGGATAGCTGGCATGTGCCTTTCTTCCCTTCTCCCTGATAAAAGGGTCCTTGTGAAGATTCAACAAAACAATGTTCCCTAATCTTCTCAAAGCTCCAGTCTGGAATCTTCCTGCAGTACTTAGACATCCTGCAAACAAGCCCTTTGATCCTGTAGCCACAACTGATTTCTTACTACTGTCCTCAAAAATAGCCTTCCTGGTAGCCAGTGAGCTTTGTGCTGTTCATGTTGACTCACAATATACAGTGGACCCTCGACTTACAGACGGCTCGACTTACAGACTTTTCGAGTTACAGACTTCTCTGGCCGCAAAATTTAGATTCGAGTTGCAGCCGGAGAATCGACTTACAGACCAGAAAAAAACCAAAATGGAACAAAAATAGAATAAAAACCACTGGTTATGGGATTAATCGGTTTTCAATGCATTGTAGGTCAATGGAGATTCGACCTACAGACTTTTCGACTTGCAGCCACCGTTCCAATACGGATTAATTCCGTAAGTAGAGGGTCCACTGTATTGTTTTCCAAAACGATAAAGTGGTCCTCCACCCAAATATTTCCTTCTTCTGTAAAGTTGTATCAGAATCTCATCTCATGTAGTACTGTGCTGCCAGCTGTGCTGGCAGATTCAGAAGTGAGGGAAATGGAGGGAAAGGAGTTAGATGTATGTAGTAGAGACGATAGAGCTACCTCAAAAATACTGTGTCTCAGCTAGGAAAGATTCCAGAACGTTCTATGAAGGTGCAGTACAGTAAATCCTATTAGTGTGAGTTCATAGCAGAACCAAATTACAATAAGCAACCTGTTGTTCTTCATATGGTCATAAGTAGATTCACATATCCTTCCTTTCTACCTTCTTCAGCCTATGCAGTTTTCTATTTCCTTTCTGCTATACAGTATTCAGATTCTGAACTGAGATATAGCCAGCTCACACACATTTTATAGAAAGGGAGAGAAGGGCTACTGCCCAAACTTTCCAGATCTAGAAATGTTCAAACTATGGCTCTACACAGGTGCTGCCTCCATACGTGTGAATGCAGAGGTGGCTGTTCAAAGAAAAAAAAATTACAAGTAAGCAATCTATTTTTCCTGGAATCACTTAGAAGACTTTGTCCGTCAGCACAGATACCTAATCAGCCTTTGTCTTCCAGCCTTGTTGGTTTTTTAAATCAGGTATTTCAAAAATAAATTATGCTTCAATTTGTTATATGCCTTTATAGGACACAGTAATTTATGAACGGCTGGCTGAAAACTCAAGATACAAGGAAATTACCTTGAAACATTTAGAGCTATTTGCTACTGAAGGTAAGCATTATTTAATGTAACAGTAGGTAGCAAATAGATAAGGATAACAGTTATGCTTTGAATGTGTATCATCTGGTGGTCGCTGTTGCAGTTTGATGCAGCAATTATCAAAGGAAGAACTGTTATGTAAATGAGTGCAGAATCTTAGCAGAGTTTGAAATGTAAACAAGACTATTTTGATTGGTAATCTAGAACCACCAGACATACTCAACTATTACTGTGCTTGAAATTTGCAACTCTGATTCTTTAAGAGTAGCAAATTGATGATTGCTCTTTATAATCATGCTTGGCAGTTGGCTCTTATTTCTGAAAAGTGCACAGTCTGTATACAATAGGCTTGCAATTGTTTTTCTTTCCAATAATTGTAATTACCTTGGTTCAAATACCCTTTTTTCATCTCCAGTTAAATCAGAATATTATGCTAGGTAGCCCATTATGTTTATGTCTCTTTCTGTATAATTGAGTTCAGGTCTGTTCATTGAATAGCCTTTATTTTTCTATGATTTATTGCTTTTTTATACATTTTATCTTGGCTTAGTACCATACTCTTGAGATACAATACTTTTCAGGATGGTGAGCTGTGAGTTTAGGAAATAAACTCCTTTGATTCCTGTGAGCCTAGTTACCTATAAAGAATGAAACAGGCAGACCGGATCTGGTATTGTTCTATGTAGGTCTTTTATCGTTGTTTCTGTCTTTAAAGGGATACATATCATTTCTGATCTACACACTACTTCTTTGTGCTTACTGAAATTGTCCACCTTTCTAGCTTACAACGTGCAATAAAATGTCTGTGGCATTTTAAGGATTCCAGAAGCATTTATCTGGACATATTCTTAATCCTACTGCAAACTCAAATTAAAATTGATATTTTTAAAATTCTTCGAAATATCATATGGGTATAAAATTGTAAAATGATAAAGAAACTGAGAATTTATTGAGTACTGTATGTCATTTATTTCTTTAGGCTTGAGAACACTTTGTTTTGCTGTTGCTGAGATTTCAGAAAATGACTATCAAGAATGGTTAAATGTCTATCAAAGAGCTGCAGCTTCTATTCAGAACAGAACTCTAAAACTGGAAGAGAGTTATGAACTAATTGAAAGAGTAGGTGATATTTGCTGTGTTTTTCCATATTGTCAATTTGTTTTGAAAGCTATGTGATATTTTTCGCTCCATAAGACGCACCTTTCCATAAGACGCACCAATTTTTTAGGAGAAGAAAACAGGAAAATATAATCAGTTTTCTTCGCTCCATAAGACGCACAGACTTTCCACCCCCCTGTTTTGTGGGGGAAAAGTGTGTCTTATGGTGCGAAAAATACGGTATGTTTACTGTTGTACTTTGAAATTGCTCAGTTTTAAAAACAAAAACCTAATCTTAAGAAAACCAAAAAGAACATAGTATTAATTTGAAGCAAGACACTTTTCACTGTAAAATGTTAAGCTCTGTGGAAGGAATACTTTTGTATGTTGTTTCTCTTTGAGCTTGGGTACTGTGGTTTGATTTTCTGCTATACACCTGCAGTAACTGCCCAGCCCTGGAAAAATATTGAAGTCTTCCCCAAACAAGGCATTTTTTTTCCTCCATTCCTCCCCCTCTCTTAAGAAATGTTACTGCTGGAAAGACATCCCAAGTCCCATAATAAATTGAAAACAGGAGAAGAGTGAGCTTCCTGAAAATGCATAACTATTTCTAGGGTAGGTGATACGGTCAGAAAGACCTAGCTAATTGTCAGTGCAGTCCTAATTTATAGATGTGCTAGCTGTAGAGGTTAGGATTAGGCATGTCTATTGTGCTGGCTGATATCAGAGATCTGGTAACAGAGTAACCTCCTGACTAAGATGTGTCAGTAAAAGAGGGTAGGAAGAGGCAGGGAGAAGCAAAAACCAAATTGCGTCAGATCCAAACCTTCTAGAGCTCAGGGACACAGTTGCAGTGCTAGTATAAATCTAGGATTGTGTGAGGATGATCCTAAATAATTCCCAACATCCTTAGTCTTCAAGGGATTTGGATTCAGTACTACTGTACCTATGCTGCCTTTGGTTTAGATGAATATTGGCCATCTTGCCATTTAGGATTATGCTCTAATTTTCTGGGTGTTTTTTTCCAAAGAATCTTCAGCTACTTGGAGCTACAGCCATAGAAGATAAGTTACAAGACCAAGTGCCTGAAACAATAGAAACTCTAATGAAAGCAGATATCAAAATTTGGATACTTACTGGAGATAAGCAAGAAACTGCTATTAATATAGGTAATATGTTAGATGTAAGTCTGCATATAACATTTTTTTCAAGGTTCCAAATATTCATAAGAAATAATTGAAAAGATGCATATATCTCTTAGCAAGAAGTCCATGGTGTTTAAGGTGTTAATTTTTTCTGACTTCATCTACATTTTCTCAGCATATAACAATTGAAGCATAATTTATTTTTCAAATAACTGATTTTAAAAAAAACCAACGCCGGAAGACAAAATCTGATTAGGTATCTGTCCTGACAGACAAAGTCGTGTAAGTGATTCCAGGAAAAAGACTTGCATAAAAAGAAAACACCAGCAAAAATAATGAATCTAAATGCATAGCATCAGAAAACATAGTACAGTGGTGCCTCGCATAACGATGTTAATTGGTTCCAGAAAAAAAAACGTTATGTGAAAACATCGTTATGTGAAGCACCATTTCCCATAGGAATGCATTGAAAACCGGTTAATCCGTTCCAATTGGAACGGATTATCCGGTTTTTTCCCTCCCCCCCGCGGCTTGGATCTGACCCATGGCAGCTACCTCAGCCATGGCTGGACTCCCTAGAGTCCGGCCATGGCTGGGGTAGCCGCTACGGCTCCGCTCCACAGCGCGGGGGGGGGGGGGTGGG